TGTTTTTGCTTATAGCCTCTTCAAAATGTGGGCCAACCTTTTTTGCCTGTCACGACTCTGGAAAATGTCTGCCGAATGATTTTCGATGTGACTACGAGCCCGACTGCGGTGATGCCAGTGATGAGGAGAATTGCGGTTAGTAAAATGAGGTCCAGCTGATTTCAAAATATGAGGAATGGACAGATCAAAATGCTTTAAATAGAATCGTAAACGAAAGATCAGAATCCATCTATGTTTGAGCAAATGCTACAGAGACAACCCATATTTGTGCACAATTTCAGAAGATTATCTCAAGAACTTCGAATTGATTGGAACACTCAAAATTGCGGATAAAATTACCGAAATCTGGACATACATACCACATGTGCAAGGAGTACGTCTGAAATTATTAAAGAACTACAATATACGTATTCGATAGAAAGAAATCGTTTATTCTATAGTGTGCTCGACGTTGCAACGAAAGCACATTAGTATGCGAAGCATTCTCCTATGAACCAAGAACACAGGTCAGGCAACTTTTTTTTTCCAATGAGTTTAATAAATTTTAGAGAAATGATCAATCTTCGTGCTTGCAGTTAAACCTGGAGGAAGTAAAGAGTAAATGGATGTATAAGTGAATAAGCCAATAACTGACTTAATCTGAATGAAAGTGGTTGAATAAATAAATAAATAAGTAAATGTATGTAAGCGAATGGATGAATAGATGAATGAGTGAATGAGCGTATGAATGTATGTATTTATGATTATACGAATAAATCAGAAATAAATTAATGACTAAATAAGAACTGCATGAATGATAGAACGAATGAACGAACAACGAAGGAGCATGATTGAATAATGAATAAATAAATAAATAAATCAACAAATAGATAAGCAGATTAATAAGAGAATTGGGTATGAATGTATGCATGCATGTGGTTATATGAATGATGAATTGATAAACAGATGTTTGAATGAACGAACGGAAAAATGAATAAATGAATGAATGAATGAATGGAGTGTATGAATGCTTGAATGGATTCATAAATAAATGAGTAAAATATTTGAATAGGTGAAGGAATGAATG